ACTGGTGCCAAGAATGTTGACTGTGGAGCCAAGCAAACTAAAGCTGTGAACAATCTCAATCTCTTCACCATCCATCCTGATGCTGCCAATTGGTCCAGGATGAGAATCTTTGTCTTCTTGACATTGAGCCTCAGTCCATATTGGAGGCTACAGTCCTTGACCCTCTGCAGCAGATGCTTCAGGTCCTCCTCAGTTTCAGGAAGCAGGGTTGTATCATCTGCATAACACATCTTAAATATATACTGTAATAATTAATAGAGGTTCATATGGGTTACATGATTTGTTCCAGTCTGATAATATGGCACCATGTAACATCACATTCCTATTGAGTTTTGAAGGAAAATGCTTATCAGGAATCTGCTTTTATCTCTAGAGGCATGGTAGTCAATGGAAACTCCTAACGTATTTAGTATAGAGGTGCTGGAATACAATAAATTGTTTATGTAGTGATAGGAGAGCTGAGATACTAAACAGGACAGTGAGGCAGCTCAGAGGTCAGACAAATGTTGGCTAATGAGCACAGTAACCACAGGTCCAATGATACCTTCCACTAGTCTGCAGGACACAAGTTCTCCTGTCCAGGGATGATGTGGTGAAGCCTATGTGAAACTGCTCACCACATATTAACAAGTGAACACAAGTAAACCATGTACACTTTGACCAATGTAAGCCAGTACTCACCATATTTACCAGTTAATCTACCCTGGCCAGTACCCTACGAGGAAGATTACTTGACCTCAGGTACCTGGACTACCTGCTAGAAGCTAGAACTATGGTGGCCTCTCCAGTAGGAGTCAGAGTCACAGAAGTGTTGCTTTTGCTGCTAGAGATCTAATAAAGGCAGAGAAGGGAGAAATACTGTGCTTTGTCCTCTCTCCCACCAGCCCCTCCTATTGGTCAAGCTTAGCTAGAAGCTGAGCCTGGAAGGTAATCCAGCACAGACATAAAGGAGAGCAGAAGCTAAGTGAAGGGATCTGAGAGTAAATGGGCCTTGCGTCAGCCCAGACCTAGACCTGCATTCACAATCATCCTTTAACCCCTTTAGAGAGCCTGCTTATACTGCAGAAAGCAGAGTTCTAAGATCTTTAACTCAAAAATACTCAAACTCATTGTCATGTGGTATTATACTCAGAACTGAGCCTCCAGTGGGTTTTCAAGACAGTAAATCAAATGGGAGATTGCCCATCTTTCTCCTGCAGAGTTGCTGGTGGACTCAGAGGCTTGAGGGTGTGAAATTCTTTATAGACTACACCAACAGAGCTCCTCAAAACCCCCAACCAAACCCACTGCTGTCAAATCAGTTCCAACTCCATCATGTTGCTGAGGCTGTAAATCTTTCTGGGAGGACACTGCCCACCTGTCTCCCGTGGAGAGGCTAATGAATTTAAACTGCCACTGGTACAGCACCCACTACATCACCAGAGTTCCTTAAAGGTATACCTTCCATGAATCTGCAGGACACTAGTTCTCCTGTCCAGCGATGATGTGGTGAAGCCTATGTGAAACTGCTCACCACATATTAACAAGTGAACACAAGTAAACCATGTACACTTTGACCGATGTAATCCAGTACTCACCATATTTACTAGTTAATCTACCCTGGCCAGTACCCTACAAGGAAGATTACTTGACCTCAGGTACCTGGACTACCTGGTAGAAGCTAGATCTCTAGATCTATGGTGGCCTGGAACTACGGTCAGTTCTTAAAATGTTAGAGCTGCAAGGGGCTTTAGATATTATCTGGGTAAATGTCATAAATTGGCAGGGGATTTGGTGTACTCTGGCCCAAATAGGATCCTTTGGCCTTTAGTGTTTGCAAACATTTTGAGTTAGTTAACTGTCAATAGCTAATAGAGGCCTCCTGGCACTGTGGTTAAGTGCTTGGATGCTAGCCCCTGAACTAAGTTCAGCTTCACCAGCAGCTTTATGGGGAAAAGATATGACAGTCTGCTTCTGTAAAGATTTACAGCCTTGGAAACTTTATGTTGTCTGACTCTGTCCTATAGATTATTGTGAATCAGAATTGACTCAATGCTAGAGGATTAATTATTACATCACCTCCTCCACCCCCCAAAAAAAATCCCCATTTACAGTGACATAGCTACTCCACTTAAAAATCACAGCCTCATCTCTAATATTCCCTCTTCTTTACTCTTTCACTATTGGTTTCTCTTTACAAAACTGATTACCAACTGACACATGATGTATTTCCCTTACTTATTTGCTAAAATGTGCACCCTATGAGATCAGATTTTTTTTCAGGTTTAATCGCTGCTTTATCACTGTTGCTACAAGGGTGTCTGGCAGATAGCTGGCATACAACAAATAGTTACTTGTTGAATGAATGAATTCAATACTGGAATATTTGATATGAAGAATCTAGTTTTCTAGATTTTCTTTTAAAAAATCCATTTTGGCAACACTGGTTCATATTACGGTAACTGCCGGTTAGAGCTACCCTTTTCTGATGGACTCTGAACTAGTCTAAACAACTTCAATAATTTCCACCATCTCCTTGCTGCCCTAGGCACTGTTTCTGTGATCTCTAAGTGGAACCTAAATGCTCATTCTAACAGCTGGGAAAACTGGGGTACAGTGAAATGAAATGACAGGCCATACCACTGGCTACATATGTCAGAAAAGTGTCCACTAGAGGCCTAGATGTAGGACTCTTCTGTGACGGCTACTGTAGTAGGTACCCGCAGGTACTGAGTTCATTGTTCAGACAACACATCCTTTTAACAAATGAGGCACTGTGCAGGAAGCCTGCGCGTACACTGACAAACAGCACAGAGTATCTGTCTGCAAGAGGGTTAGAATCTAGTGGTAGCTGTTGTTGTGGGCTAGCCAACTCCCAGTGTATCCATGTGACAAGGGTATACTGTCCCCTATTTTGCGGGGCTATAATCTTTACATAAGCCAACTGCCAGGTCTTTCTTCCTGAGAGCTACTGGGCAAGTGAGAATTGTCAAGTTGTCAAGTGGCAACCAAATGCTTAAACACAACATCATCAAGGCTCTTTTATTTCAGGGCAGGAACCAATTTATAGCCACCAGTTCTGATAAGGAGTCCTGGAGTGGTGCAAATAGTTAATGTTCAATGACAGAACAGAATGTTGGAAGTGTGAGTTCACCCAGAAGAGCCTTAGAAAAGGCCTGGCATCTAGTTCTGACAAATCAACCATTGAGAACTCTATGGTGCACTATTCTATTTGGGCACACAGGGGTTGCTATGAGTCAGAATCTATTCCATAGCAACTGGTTTAGCACAAAATCTGGGGGACTATAGATATCACTTATCCTGTATTGTAGGCCCCCAATTCCGGGAGTTGCACTGGCCAACAAGCAATTTACAGCTCTGGGGCTTTGCACACAGTTCTCTTCCCTGTGCACTCCCAGGTATGCTTACAGACCTGCCTCCTGTGAAGGGCCCATCATCCCCGCTGAACTGATGATTACTCTGACTTCTGTTTACCTACTTTTGTGCATTTGCCTCTATCAACAGCACAGTTCTCCAGTAGTTGGGAGTTTCTTCAGGCCATAGTGTTTCTAGGCAACCAGACGCAAAACAATGCATTCAACATGCACTGTCCGATTCACCACTTTGGGAGTTTTCCCCTCAAGAGTTTCCTGTATCTGTGTCCTGTGGCCCTGAGCATGGGCCTCCTATCCCACTCTGGCACAGCCCAAGTAAGAGAGGGCCATTTCCAATCTCCACTTCCGTGCTAGACACTGCAAAGCACATGCCTGACCCCCTCCCATCTGTCTGTCTGCTGCCCAGCCAGGTGGGGGGTGGGGAAGCGCCAACCATGCTTCGCTTCCCCGCAGCCCAGCGTGCCTACCTTGCCCCCTTTGCTCAGGACCTGCCAAGGCCACGTCTCTACACTCCCGAACAGCAAGTTCCTGATCATGCCCAGCATGATGTCGCTGAGCTCCGGATGCACGGCGTACACAGCGAAGCAGAGAGTGGGGAAGTGGGAAACAAGGCCAGCGGAGCGGGCGGACCCGGGAGCCGCGGCTCCGCCCAGCTCGCCGCTCCGGGAAAGGCGGGCTGGCGGGCGGGACTCTCGGTATTAAGGAAGCGGCGGCACAAAATGGGAGTGGACACTCTGATTGCCGCTGGTCCCATTGGGGAGCTGGTCTGAGAGCCAGTGGCCTCCCGGGGTAGCCGTGGGCCTGTGTCCGATCTATTTTCCGGGGACCCACAACCAAATTCTTTCCTCTTTAGGATTTAGGCCGCTGAGGTAGGAGATTTCCTGCAGGAATTCTTCATCCCTTCTATTTCTGCCCAGAAACCCTGATAGTGCAATGAATCAAGCAGCAGCCTGCTATCTGAAACGTCAATGATTTGAATCCAGCAGCTGCAGTAGGAGGGGAAGGGGCAGGGGAGGCAGTCCCTTCTTGTAAGGATTTATAACCTTGGGAACACTTTGGGACAGTTCTCCTCTGTTCCATAGGCCCACAATGAGTGAGAATCAATTCCATGGCGGTGAGTTTGGGGGCTTCTGGTATAGAGAGAAAAGATTGGAGTTGGTAACGATTTCATTTCGCTTAGTTACACAATCAACACCCTTGGGTACAACGGTCAAGAAATCAAAAGACAAATTGCATGGAGGAAGTGTGCTTTCAGGATTTCTCTAAAGTGCCAAAGAACACGGATGTCAGTTTATTTTTTTATTTCCCCACCCCATTCCTGACCTCATGATGCCAGTTTAAAGACTAAGGTGCACCTGATCCAAGCCATGGTCTTTTCAATGTTTTTCTGTACATTTGAGAGCATATGACTAAGGATAACAAGAAAAATCGACGCCTTTGAATTGTGTTGGAGAAGAGTACTGAACATCCATGGACTGCCAAAAGAACAAGAAGACTATTTTAGAGAAAGTGCAATTAGTGTTCCTCCATAGCGGCAAAGATGGTGAAACTTCATCTCACATACGTTGGGCAGTTGTTAGGAGGGCTCAGTCCTTGGAAATGGACATCATGCTGGAAGGGTGGAAGGTCAGAGAAAGAGAGGAAGACCCTCAACAAAATCAATTGATTCAATGACTGGAACAGTGTGCTGGAGATAGCAGAGATTGTGAGGATGGGGGAGGATAGGCCAAGGTCCAGATCTGTTGTTCATGTAGTTGATATGAGCTGAGCTGTCGAGCAGAGCTGAGCTGTCGTCTACTCAATGGCACCTCATAATAACATTTCTTTTAAGGAGGCCTGGCACAGTGGTCAAATGCTCGGCTTCTAACAATGTCAGGGCATCAGACACTCTGAGGTATGTAAATGAGGGAATCTGCGTCTTTCACGTATGCCCTTGGAAACTGAGCTCATGTCCACTGTGTCTAGAACCTGAGCTCCAAGCTTCAGATCCTCTGGCTCTTTTGATGGGAAGGTTCAGTTGTATCAGGTGCCACATAACATGCATTCAATCTTACTGTGTCCCCTCCGTCCTTTCCCCCACTACACACATCCAGCTGATGCATCTCAAAAGACCAGCAGCTCCCCTAGTGCACCCATCCTCTCAGTTATGTCACCTGGACGACATACAGTCCATTTTCTACTCTCTCATTTCTTTCCATCACTTCATTTTAATCACAGATTTGACATCAGTTTTTCAAAGCTTGGCTTTGGTCATTCTCATTCAAGTCAATGACTCCTTGTTGTTGTACAACAGAATCAAATAAATCTGTTCCATCTTTCCAATCATTGGAATGGTTGAATGTATATATGTACATCCTCTGTGTATTTTGAGTGCCTTCCAGCTTATGGTATCCATTTTCCAGCTTTGCATCAGAAAGTATTCTTTTTATTTTTTAGAAAGTTTTCTCTTATTGTAGCTAATATTAGATGGATATTGGCTGAGAGCAGGGAGTACCAGAGGAATGTCTATCTATGCTTCATTGATTATGCAAAGGCATTTGACTGTGTGGATCATAACAAACTGTGGCTGACTCTGAGACGAATGGGAATCCCAGAACACTTGATCATGCTAATGTGAAACTTATACTTGAACCAAGAGGCAGTCGTCAGAACAAGCACGGGAACACTGCATGGTTCAAAATTGGGAAGTGCGTACGCCAGGGATGTGTCCTGTCTCCATACCTTTTCAACCTGTATGCGGAACTGATCATCCTGGAGGCTGGGCTCTATGAGGAGAAATGTGACATCAGGATTGGTGGAAGATCCATAAACAATCTGCGTTATGCAGATGACACAACCCTGCTTGCTGAAACTGAGGAGGACCTCATGCAATTGCTGCAGAGGATCAGGGACTGCAGGCTTCAATATGGACTGAGGCTCAATGTCAAGAAGACAAAGATTCTCACCACTGGGCCAACTGGCAGCATCAGGATGGATGGTGAAGAGATTGAGATTGTTCACAGCTTTAGTTT